TAGACTTGGTACGGCCACCATCATCACAGCATGGCCACCCTATCCCCGTCTCTTGGTCTGTTCTCTTTTTCTACACACGGTCTGCTTGGGATTGGAGAGAGGACCTCCCCCAGCTCAGAAGCAGTCTTTCTCCAACATCCTGATTGCGATCTCCAGGGACAAAGGTCCTGCTGGAGGAGACGGCCTCTGTATCTACGGTTGAGTCTCCAGTTTTTTATCTCTTTTCCTTTTTTTCCCCAAACTGAGGAAGCTGAATTGGTGTCTGATAATGTATACGTGGCCATCTTTGTGGCCGTTCCAGTGCTTGAGGGGAAAAACAGCCGCTCCATGCAGTGACTATCATGTGAGCCAAAAAGTTTCCAGAAAGGAAAAAAAAAAAAAAGGAATGTTCCAGAACTTCTCTCATGCACCCAGTCCAGGCTGCAGACTGACAACATCAAACAGGCCCTGGAAAACCTCCTTTTCCACACATAACCCTGGCTATGCATCGAGAAGTTTTCCACTATATGCATTTTTATCCAGAGGAGGGTATTTTTATATTTTGACACTAGAAAACCATGATGAGTTTTCTGAGGAATCCATTCTGGGACAAATGAAGCCTGTCTCGGCCTCTGCTGCCACCGGGAGACCACGTCTCTTTTCACCTTGAAACTCCACGTTGAGTCAATGCAGGACACACACAGATGCGGCTCAGCAGAATTCACTGCGGTTTTGGCTGTAGTGTGACAGGATTTGGTGTGACCTTTGAACACAGAAATCGGGTTGTGCGTAAACCCATGGATCTGCAGACAGATTGGTCCAGTCTACATCCGACAATGGTTTAAAAAGAGAAAACACACACATGCACATGTGCACACACACACACAAACTGTTTCTACGAGAGATTGAAGAACTTTGTCTAAAAATTTAAAAAAAAGGGACACATTCTGTAAACACACCTCTAAATACAGAATTGTATAATAATCCTGGGTGTCCCCATTTGTTCTGGAGCTTGGGTGCAAGATGGGGTCAGAGTTGGTCCTCAGAAGTGTTGTACAAAATGTGTGTGTGTGGGGGGGTATTTTTGTTGTGGGGAGTTTGGGTGGTGAACTTTTTCTTTTTTTTTTTTTTTTTTTTTTTTTTGGTTTTTCGAGACAGGGTTTCTCTGTATAGCCCTGGCTGTCCTGGAACTCACTCTGTAGACCAGGCTGGCCTCGAACTCAGAAATCCGTCTGCCTCTGCCTCCCAAGTGCTGGGATTAAAGGCGTGCGCCACCACTGCCCGGCCTTTTTCTTTTTTTTTAAAGACGAGGTCTCACTTTATAGCTCTGGCTGGCCTCAAACTCACGGAGATCTGCCTGCCTCTGCCTCCTCAGTGTTAGGATTGATTTCCTTATTATTTAGGTGTGTGGTGTGTGAACACGGACACACGTATGGAGATCAGAGGACAACCTGCCAGAGTTTATTCTCTCCCATCATGTGGGTTCCAGGGAATCGAACTAGGGCCATGAGGCTTGCATGGCCAGTATCTTAACCCCCAAGCTACCTCCGCAGCTCTGAATCATATATATAAAAACCAGGCTTTTTGGATTGCTTGCTTGTTTATATATTTATAGAAGCCTCTGGCTTCCGAGTACTGGGTTTTAAAGCACTACACCTTACCTGGTTTCACTGCATGGCTCGCTCTGGTCTTCAGCTTAAACTTCTGTCTCCTCACCCTGCTGAATCCAGGTCCCCAGCAAAAACCTGGTTATTTGTGGTCTGTCTGTCTGTGGGACAGGATCTCACTATGTAGCCCTGTCCCGGAACTCACTGAGATCTGCCTGCCTCAGCCTCTCTGAGCGCTGGGATTAAAGGCATCTGCCAGCACCATTGGCTATGTGACTTGGGGTTAAGAGAGTCTCACGTGACCTAGGCTGCCCTCAGATTCATTTTGTAGTGAAGGGTGACTCTGAACATCTGATCTTCTTTCCTGAGTGCTGGGATTATAGGCAGGTGCCACCATGCCCAGAAAATACTGGCTTTTTAATTGAGTGCCAGCATTCAAATATGGGGCTCTGTCCCTTGAGCATTGCAGACGTCACCTTCTGAAAATTCTAAACTCTGGCCGTGCTAGGCCATGATCTGTTGTGACAACAGCCAGCTGAAGAGTGACCTCCTTTGCTCACAGGATCTGTACGGGTACTGTAGCATTTGTTTGGTGACTGAATGCAGGGTCCCAGCCTCTGCAAAAGCAGCAGGGGGCTTAAAACCCTGTCCTCTGCAGTTGTGACCTGAAAGCTGGGTGGTTAAGACTGAGCCATAAGCCACGACCCTTAGATAGCTTCTAAACAGAGTGGGGAGTAGGTTTGTGCTAAAAGGCCCTTCACAGATAGTGCTGCCCAGTCTCAGCTGTGTAATGCAGGCCTCAGTTTCCACATCTGTAAAGTGGGGTGTTGCAGCATTCTGGGGTAGCATCTTGGAATTGTGTGGGGCATGGGTACACCTGCCCAGTGCCTGAACCAGGAGCTTGCCAACCGTGTGACTATCATATGAAGTGAGGCTACTTGTCTCATGCCTCAGCCATCACTCACCCATGAACCAGAGCCTCATGCCTGGCTCAGACCATTCACTGGTCCGGAAACCTTTCTACAAACCCTGGTTTCCACATGTCCTTGTGGGGGAGGACTTGTTGACTCATTATCCCTACTGTGGCGAGGAGAACTTGCCTGAATCCCAAAGGCTGGCTCCCAGACAGCACACGGTGGGGGTGGGGAACCAATACTAGGAGCTGTCCCGGGAAGGGCGACCTTGCAGGCAGGCCTCTGAGTGTCTCTAAATCAAAGAGCCAGACTGCCTGCCTTCCACACCAGCCCCAGTTCTGAGAGCTATATATATGTCAGTGAGAGAGTGCCTAAACCTCTCTCTGCCTCTGTTTCCCCAGCTGTAAAGTGGGGATGGCTATACATTTCCTTACCCAGTAGCTATGAACCTCAGATTACTGGGTGCTGGCCATTCTGGTCCCAGGTCAGCACTCCTAGGAAGGGTAAGAATCAAAGTTATGGGGCAGGGTGATGAAAGAGATGTATTCCTGTTATCCTAGCTACTCAAAAAGCTGAGGCAGGGGAATTACTTGAGTCTAGTCATTTGAGAACAGCCTGGACAATACAGCTGAAGGCACCCCAAAAACCCAAGAGCAGTAGGGCTAGGCAGAATGGACTAGGGAGCTAGCCTGTGACCCTACCCTGAGACACCCACATGTCAGCCTTAAAGCCAGGCCCCTCATTGGGTCACCTAGGACTCTATTTCCTCATCTGTGAAATGGCTGTGAGCCCCTGGCTACAGCTGTGCTGTGTGAAGCCGCCCACCTTTGGTGGCTCTCAATCCTAAACACCTGAGGCATGAGTCCAAGGCTAGCCACCCGGCTGCCTCTAAGTTCCCTCCCCAACACAAAAAAAGAAGACAAAACACATGGGCCCAGAAACTGATTTTTAGGGTTCCAGAAATACTGCCTTCTCTGCCTGTGTGGTCCCCAGGCCCGGGCTATGGATGACAGTGATGTAATCACGAAAGGCTCTGGATGTGTTCAGCCCAGTGTGGCTGCCTTCTCTTCACCATCCCAAGTCTGCCTTGTCCTCTCTCAGATGTCACAACCATCCTCGTCCACTGGAACGCCAGGACCCATAGGTATGCACACCCAGCATCCCCTGATGGACAGGAGGCTCACCTATGTGTAGCTGTGGTAGATAAGGCTGCTGTGAACACACACGCACACCGAGACCCTCTCGGGTCCCTGCGTGTCATCTGTGGTTCTGTCTTTAACTCTCTGAGGAACTGTCTAGCTGGTCCAAGTAGATTGATAACTTGGGGCGAGTGGATGCTGTGTACCTGTGACCTCTGGCCTGGGTGTTCCTCCATCCCCAGCTGCCCCTTAGAATATTCCTGACCACACAGTGCCTCAAGATATCTTGTACCTTGCATACATAACCGTAGCAGGAGGGCACAGAGGGGTGTCAGCATTGACTAACTTTGTCCCCAAGGCCACCTGTCTGTCACTTCGAGTATTTTGATAAGGACACACCTGTGACGCTGCCTCTTGCAGCGGCCTCCCTGCACCCATCCTCCTCCTGCTACTCCCCCCCCACACACCCTGTGCCCAGCAGGGACTGTAGTCACCGGTGGCCTGACTCAGTCAGCTGTGGCCCCAGGGGGATGGGAGGACACGTGTGTGCTAGAGACTCAGGGGCACATGGCCCCCTGACCTGTGCTCTCTGTGAGCTTGAACATGAGTTACACAGCTTGCTCTGTTCACTCTAGAGCCAAATGTCCCTGAAGGCACTTCATTTTTCCAGGCTGCCGAGGGAGAGCTGTGGCACATCCTTGAGTCTACATTTGGACAATCCTGGGCCTCAACCACCATGTTGGGCCACCCTGAGCCTGCCACTTCCCTTCCCATGAGCCCAGTGAAGAAGGGACCCAGCACTCACGGCAGACATTACTAATCACAGACTTTCCCTCAATTTTCATAGTGCCAGGATTCTGTGCACTCAACCAGAGCTACCAGGAACAGGCTAGTAAGAAGGGCCATGGTTTTGCTGTTGAGAGTATGGGGGGAGGGGGTGTCCCACTATGTAGCCTAGGCTAGCTCCTTGCTAGAGCTCCTCCTGCCTCAGTCTTGATGGCTGGGATGACAGGTCTAGCCAAGAGCCAGCTTGGATCCCTTCCCATTTACATCCCTCTGAAGCCTCAGGTGACTGGGCCTGGCTCACCTGTCAGTCATCTTCTCGTCTTTCGGCCTGTGGTCCCCATTTACCCCCTGAGGGCATCCAGCTGCCTCCCCAGCTGAGTGGCCTTGGCAATGTCTTTGAGCCTCCACCACACACATGCACGCACGCACGCACGCACACACATAAAATGAGGTCAGAGGTCCCTAAGAGGTGATGGAACTCCCTGGCTAAAGGACTACAGTCGTCTCCTTTCTAGGATACCATGAAATATATCAACTATGGATTCTGCAGGGAGAAAAATATCGACAAGCAGCCATTACTCGACCAGCCTTTATTTTGGCCCTCGTACCCTGTCCATGACTGATTATCTCTCTCAGCCCCAGAATCAGCTGGACTTCATCTTGTGCTTTGGGGAAAGGGACTTCTCTGCCCTTGCCCGTGACCTCCTGCCTCGTACCTTTAGTTTGTAAAGCCATCTGGGACTAGAGTCTACACCTCAGCCCTCCAGCTGGGCCACTCCAGAAAGCCCTGAGCCCACAGTGGGAGAGCTAAAGAGACAGAGACCGAGTCCCTAGAGGCACCACCTCTGCAGAGCTGAGCTCAGGAGACTGAGGGTGAGGTAAAGGCCAAGTCAGGCGCCTGTGTGTCTCCTGTTAGGGCCTGGCTCCCTAGAGACAATGCCACCCTTTCCAGCCAGCCAACAGTAACAAAAGTGGCCTGGATGAGAATGGACTACTTCACAAATGGAAGAAAGACAGTATCGTCTGTACTTCAAAGAAAAACACAGCCCACAGCCCAGCCCTGGCCCCTGAGCCAGCAGGGAGCCACGAGGCCCTGGCGACAGACAGAAGCACAGGGCCTCCCAGGACAGAGAAGAGAGAGGGACCGGGGTGAAATCTGTCCATAGGGTGCAGCAAGTGGAGTGACAGTGTCCTCCAGTCCCCAGGGCGGGGCAGAGGAGGACTGTAAACAAGACCCAGGTAGGGCCGGTTGACCTGCCCAACACTCTGGAAGGCAGCCAGCACTGTGGTGAGTGAGAAGTAGGCCCAGCACGGAGGCCCACTGGTCACCTGCAATGGCCAGGGACAATGCCCGGACTCTCCCCCCCACTGCAGACCTGGAATCAGTTGGAGGCCTCTGTGCCCTCCAGGTGAACCTGTAAGAAAGTCACAGCCCAGCACTGAGGTCAGGTGAGAGTTGTCAAGCCGAGATGTGAGGTCCTCCTGCAAAGCTGGGCAAAGTCCTGCCTCAGCTGGTTCCAGGCCAGGAGGAGCCTTGGGGACGTAACCAGTTCAAGCCCCACCTTCTACCTGCTGCTTTAGGCCCACAGCAGCCCAGACAGCAGCTACCAGGCTCAAGCCTTAGACCTTTGTGAGGCCGGGCACCAGGTGAACCCTGGGTGCCACTGGCCTATGGCCAGCTTCAGGGCTGTCAAGGACACACAGGCTGCCCTGGGGCAGAGTTCTCTAGAAGCCAGCTCCTTGGGCTCTAGAAGCACCTTCAGGTTCAGATCCCAGATTCTTCTCAGAAGTAAGTGCCTCTGACCCCAGGGGCCCAGGTCTCCTGAGTCGTATGTCCTAGGTCCCCCCGGGGAGCCTGGCTGGCATCCAAGCCATTTTAAGGGCCTTCGGTACTCAGGCATCCCCTCACAGTCAGTAGTTGTCTTGGGGCTGGTCCGGGTTGAGAGTCTCACCAGAACTAGGATGCCAGGGGCCCTCCAGGCTAGCGAGGCCTGCCTGGCCTCCGCGCCACTGGTTCCTGAGGGCCTGCACCTCTAGTCCGTATCGCTCATGCAGCTGGGCGAAGGATGCCAGGGGCCCGTTGGCCGCGGAGGTCCTGCGGCGGGGTGGCAGCGGCGGCCGCTGGGGGGCTACAGTGGGTTGCTCAGGCAGAGCGCTCCACACTGCCCGGCCGTTCTCCTTGGGTCTCGGGTTCCAAACCGGGCTGGGGTTGGCGGGTAAGGCACTGGCCGGGCTTCCCTCGCGCATGGCTGCCAGCTGCTGCTCCAGCTCGCGCACCACCAAGCGCAGGTAGTGGAAGCTGGCCCGAGACAGGGCCTTCACCCAGCCCTCCAGGGCTGCCTGGCTGTCAGCGGCCAGCACGTAAGGCCGGGAGCGGCCACCCGCAAAGCGCACGGCGAAGGCGAACTCCTCCCGGGCGTCCACCAGCTCCACCGTGCAGCCCTCCAGCAGGATGACGCCCAGCGGCTCGCGGCTGGCTTCCGTCTCGAAGTAGAAGAGCATGTTGCCGCGCAGCACAAACCAGCGCCGGTGCGAGCCGGCCCCGCGCCCGCCGCGCTTGTGCAGGAAGCCCGCGTTGTCCACCGGAGCATCGCAGGTCGCGTAGAAGGCCAGGCTGCGTTCGTTGAGCTTCATGGCCGCGGGGCCTGCACCTGTCCCCGGCACGGGAGCAGACGTGACTCCTCTGATCGTCCCAGGTCACCGGCGGCCTCCTCCCACCACACCCACCCCAAGGCCCGCAGGGAGCCTGGCGAGACGGGACTCGAACCCGAGTCTCACACAGCTACCTGGAGGACTCCTGCTGCCCTCGACCCGGGAAAGGTACACTAAGCATTCGGCTCGCCAGACACTTGGCATAGGTTAGCTCCGTCTAGCGATGAGCTTGGGTGGTGCGGAGCTGGTTTTAGGATTGCCTCCATGTGTCAGATGGGGAAAACGAAGGCACAAGGAGGTCAGCCACAGAGCAAAGGTCACAAAACAGCCTGGCTACAGCCTCTGCTAGTGTCTGGAGATCCCAAGTCAGTGACTCAGCCTTGGTTTGTCAGTCAGGTTGGTGAGGGAGGGAGCGAGCATAGGGAAGAGCATGGCGGGGGATGGGGGTGGGGAGTGGACCAGCACACACAAGGCAAATCCTCCTGCTGTAAGGAGGGTGACCAGAGGAGGGCAGGAATGGAGGAAAACCCAGAGTACTGGAGCGACTGTTGGAAAATAACCCAGATAAAACACAGGCTCAGCCCAGACTGTCAGGGAGGGACGGGCGCTCTAACACAGACCTCCCAAAAAGTACACACTGGGGCAGCAGTGGGCAGTAGGGCTTATTGAGGAGTGGCACATGAGTTACCAGTGTGGCCACTTGGAGGAGGCAGGCCCTGTCACAGCCTCACTTCCTGCCGATGGCTGTCATACTTTTGAAGAGCCTGGGATGTAGTAGCCACTCAACTAATGCCCGCTCCTCCGCACTAATGCCAGCCCCCTCTGCCTGTGCGGTGCCTTACCCCAGGTCTGGAGGGATGAGGGCTGGGTGGCGGCTCTGCAGGGCCAGGCTGTGCCACCTGACCTGGGTGGAGGGAGAAACTGCGTCAAACAAATACTTATTTTGTTGCCACCTCATGCCACCCACGTTCCAGTCAGGGAGAACTTCCTGCCAGGTCAGAGGCTACGACCTGCTTGGCCCAGAGCAATGGAGCAGGGGCCTCGGCCCCAATTCCCACTCTCCCTCCTGCTGCTGTGTGGCTTCTTATGCCAGCTGCACCTCTCTGTGCCTCTGTTTCTCTCTGCACAAGTGACTCACGCAGCCCTCCCAAATCGAACGCACGGGACTGTCAGGCCCGCTTCTCCCAGAACCTACCGCAGGCTGCCGACCCAGCTCTGCTCACGCCACAGGTCGGCTCACAGACTCCAGGCTGGGTCACCTCGGGGGCACACAGTCAGCCTCTCTGGACCTCTAGTTCTTCATCTATAACGTGAGAGCAAAGTTATCTAAGTCAAGGTTACGGCAATGAGACAGGACACAGAGAACCAGGCCCTCTGGTTGTGGCAGCCGTTGACAAGGCACTTGGCCTCCCTCTAGTCTGTCCTGCGACAGCAAGTCGCCCCAGGTGTCCCTCTCACCCCCACATCTAATCACTGAGGCCAGGTGATCCCCTGACCCTGGCTGCCTTCCAGAGCACTGGCTGTTTCGTTCCCATGTCTCCAGGTCCCCACCTAAGCTTGCTGGAGCTCCGCAGGTACCCTCTCCAGCTGCCTCCACCTTTGCCCTCTTCCTAGCTGGCCGCCTCAAGGTAAGATCGCCTCCCTAGGGCCCTCCCCCGGGACCACGGAGGGACTCTTACCTCCCAAGACTTCCACCTGCTAGCCCAACGCCCAATCTCAGCTCCTTCCCCCAACCTCTGCCCGCCTCTGTCAGCCTTTGTCACCGGCCTCAGACACCTGACTACCCGGCTCAAAGGCACCACACACTTTCCTCCCTGAGGTGTCTTTCCCGACCCCATCGTCTAGAAGGAGGGGGTGCATTCTCCGACCACAACAGACCACCAGGAACCATCCTGTACCCCGGCTGGAAGTTACCTGGGTCAGTCATGCCTGCTCCGGAAGGGGAGGGGTTTTCTGTCTGGATTTGAGTGTCCGGTGTGTAGCCTGAGCTCCGGAGCCTACAGGACAAAAGCAAACCTTTGTCAACATGAGGCTCCTGGGACCAACGGATGGTCCCACACTCAGGGATGTGAGAAATGACCTGTGTAAAGAACAGAGCTTGGCGCAAACAGCCTCATGGGGTAGAAACCTTGGGGTCCTTCTTCCACACCAAGATTGACAGTATCTTGCCTGGTGCCCATCAACCTCCCTCCCCCAACTACCCAGATGGGGGCACCCTGGCCCAAGGTCACCAGCAGACAGAAGGCCCAGCCAGGTGCCCAGCTCTTGCCTGCTCTGGCTCAGCTAATACACGGGCTCTAGCTTCCCCTTGGAGGGAGCACTGCTCCTCATGTTCCAACCGTCCCGCACTATTCAGGTTCAAAGTCTGCTGAGGACGGCAAGCTATAAGCAACAGGGCCTGGACACGATGCTTTAGGGACCAAATTCCTGTCCTGGCTGGTCCAGGTTGGAAGACCAGTCACCGCCACTTCCCAGACCGCAGTTGCCTCAATGTGGCTCCAAGGAGACTCAGATGAGCTAAATTAAAGACAAACCATAGGGAAAAAAGTATTCTAAAGTAGGCGACGCAGCCAACGTGGCCCTCACACCTGTCACCCCAGCCCTTGGAAAGCAGAGGCCAGCCTGACTCTGACACAGCAAGACCCCGTTTAAAAAAAAAATACAAAACAAAACAAAAAAACCGACACATGCTGGGTATAGTTGCACACCTTCGATCCCAGCACACGCAATGCAAAGACAGGTGGATCTCTGTGAGGCTAGCCTGCTCTACATCTGGAGTTCCAGGCCAGCCAAGGCTACACAGTAAGACTCCGTCTCAAAAACAACAAAACCCACCAAAAAAAGGGCAGGACTAGCAAAACAGTTCAGCGGATAAAAGCGCTTGCTACCAAGCTTTCCGACCTGCGTTCGATTCCCAGAAACCAAGTGGAAGAAGGAAAGACCCGACTCCTGCAAGTTGTCTTCTGATCTCCACACGCGCACACGTAAACAAAAAAAATAAATATATAAAATCTTAAAGACAAGTGATGAGCCCACCATCCGTGGGCTTACGGCTGGCCCCAAGGCTAGGACTCGAGGGAAACTGAGGCAGGACACTACCGCAGATCCTCAAGCCCCGGCGGTGCGCGGCCGGGCCGCGATGGAGGAGGCCGCGGGCGGGACCCGGGCGACAGCCGCGCGGATGCCGTCCCCGTCGCGGTCCCCTCACGCCCGGTCTTACCTGGCTGTGGGACCCGCGCGTCGGTCTGTCCCGCCCATGGCCCGGAACCGCTCGGGGGCGGCGACGAGCGGGCGCTTTGTCTCCCCGAGGCCGAGCGGCGGCGACCCGCGGGCGCCCCTTTAACCCTGAGCGGCCCGCCCAGGAGGGGCCCCGCCCCCGAGCCACATACGCCTTCCCATTGGTCAGTCCCGCCAGACCCCGCCTTCTAGCTTGCTCCGCCCTCACGCGCGCGCCTGTAAACCACTCTTAAAGGGACCGTGCCGGGGTTCAGGAGTCCCCAGAGTTCTGTCCCAGGAAACCTGAGGGTTTGAGCTGAGGAAAGACTGACGCGGCTCAGACACAAAGCTTGTGAGACGACTCAGCGGGTAAAGGCGCTTGCCGCCAAGCCTGGGGACCTATAATGTGGAAGGGGCCAGAGAACTGACTCCCACAAATTGCTAACCTTGGTGCGCTCAAGGGACACACAGTGTATCTGTGAGTTCGAGACCAGCCTGGTCTACAAAGCGAGTCCTGAACACCCAGGGCTACACAGAGAAACCCTGTCTCGAAAATAAAAATAGAAAGAAAAAAAGAAAGTAGGTAAGAAGGAAAGAAAGAGAGAAGAAAAGAAAACAAGGAAAGAATACATTTAACCCACGGCGTTTCCAGACAAAATCAACACAGGTCTGCTGTAAACGCAGAGGACGCCGAGCCATCCAAACGCTTGCCCAGGTGAAGAGAGAAAGTACTAGAAGCGAGCAGAGTTGGAGGTCCACTGACCCACTGCACCCCTGCGTGACCTCCCAGCAGTTCCTCTGCTTCTCTGGGCTGCTATGCAAAATATAAAGACAAGCGTGATATTTACAGGGTGTGACTCAACTGCAGGCGCTCCCAGTAAGTAGGAATTGCTGGGGTTTCCCCTCTTCCCAGAATCACACAGGACCCACCTCCCAGGAGCCTTCACTTCCTGTTCTTCCTGCCTCCTCCTCACTTCCTTCTACCTTCCTATCCGGGGTCTTCCTAGCCGGAGGACAAGAGCAGAACAGGCTAGACCAGGATCCCGGCTTCATTCCACAGCGTCTCACTAGCGCCTCCTGTGGTGCAGACGGATCCAGAGAGAAATAGCCCGGAGTCAATCAATAAACAGTCCTAACAAGTGCTTGGTGTGAGGCAGAGAATGTGCAATAGCCAGAGTGCAGGGCTAAGACAAACAAACTCTCAGGAATGGCCACTGAGGGGCGGCGACCTAGTTCCCTGGAGACCTGCGGGAAGGGTGTACCAGATGGAAGAAACCGCAAGTCCAATGGCTCAGAGAATCGCAGTGAGCAAGTGGAGGAAGAAGTTAGGAAGCCATATTGCATAGGGCCCTGTGGACATTGGGAAAACTTTGCTTTTCAGGCATGCCTGGTAGTACATACTTGTAATTTCAGGCCTTGGGAGGGAGAGGTAAGAGGACAGCTGCAAAGCCATATATGTATGTATATATGTGTGTGTGTGTATATATATATATATATATATATATATATATATAATAAATTATTAAATTGATACTTTATTAGATAAATTAATAATTTACTGAATTAATTAATTAGTAGGCTAGGTTGGTCTTGAACTCACAGAGAGCCTCTTGTCTGCCTCCCAATTTGGGGTATTTATTTCCCACACTAGGATGCCTGGCCTGTAGAGGATTTTGGGCAGAAACGCAGGCTTTAGGGGGCTGTAGGGCCTGAGGGAAGGCTAGGAGGCCAAGCGTGAGCCTACTGAAGTGGTCTGAGCGATCTGTGATGGCAACTTGGGGGAGAGAGTTAGGGGAGAGATGTAAAGTGGGCAAACTTTGTGCATACATAGAAGATTTATAGAAGAATTTCTGATGGTTCTCTACAGGGATGAGAGATTCCGAAAAGGAGTTAAAAATGAATCCACATCTTTGGACCTGAGTAACAGACATAACCAGAGCATCTGGAAAGAGAAAGCCTGGGGTATATTTTACCAAACGAACCAGTGGGGACCCATCTACAAAGATAAAGCCTGCTCAGTACCTCACACCACAGGCTAAGGCTGACGCCAAACAGATTACAGACCTCAACATGAGAGCTGCCCTAGAAACCGCCTAGGGCCTAAAGGGGAGTGCACTGACATGTGCCAGGCCCTGGTGGGATCCCCAAGCCTGGGGGAAGATCCCAGCCTTCCTAAGGGAGGAAGGGAAGAAGGGAAAAAGGGAAGAAGGGAGGTCCTTGGTTGATCAATCAATGGTCAGTTGTTGGTCAGTCAGTCTTCAATCAATTGTCAGTGGTTGGTAGGTCTCAGTCAGTCCTGCCCTGCCCGTCACCATTCTGTTGTCAATAGTCAAAATTCAGCAGCCTTCCTTCACACAAGTCAGTCAGTCAGTTCTCAGTTGGTCTCAAGTCATTGGTCAGTCAGCCAGTTGTCAGTCAGCCAGTTGTCAGTTGTCTGTCAGTCAGTTGTCAGTCAGCCAGTTGTCAGTTGTCAGTCAGCCAGTTGTCAGTTGTTTGTCAGTCAGTTGTCAGTCAGCCAGTTGTCAGTTGTCTGTCAGTCAGTTGTCAGTCAGCCAGTTGTGAGGCAGTCAGTTGTCAGTCAGTCAGTTGTCAGTCCCAGTCATTCAGTCAGTCAGTTAGCCTAGATGTCAGTGTTCACGAGTCAGTCATCATCAGTCAGTCCATTCCTAGTCAGTCAGTCAGTCAGTTGTTAGTCTGTCAGTCAGCTGTCAGTTATCCGTTAGTATTTGGTGGTTGTCAGTCAGTCCTCAGTTGCTGAGAGTCTGTTCAGAGGTCAGTCAGTCAGAAGTCAATCATCTGTCTGATCAGTTAGGTGGTCTTTCAGTGAGTGGCCAGTCACCTGTCAGTCGGTGACCTGTCCGAAGTGTCATTTAGCTGCTGTCCAGTGGTCAGCCTGTCAGTCCTGGCCTGACTGGATTCAACATGGCGGCCACTGGCATACATACAGCTGTCTGTGTCCTGGAGCCACTGGCTGGAGGACACAAGCGATTGAGCGAAGTGACAGACTCGGCTATGCCGCCTCCTGCTCTGGTCTCCCCTGTGCTCAAAGGAGCTGGGCTTTGTTGGCTGTGGCCCTGGGAGGCATTCGCTTCAGAGATAGGCTTGGGGACATGACTGGCCCGTGAGGATGAAGAGGTTGACTTCCTCCTAGTAGTGTGTGTGTGTGTGGGGGGGAAGTCATTGCCATCTTAGCTCCTCTCTCCCAGTTGTATGTGGTTCCACCCCAGCTGCAGGGGCCCTCGTGGTCCCTGGCCCCTGAAGGTGCAAGCGTGTCAACTACGCAGGGTCACCTGAAGTGGGAGGGAGCAGGGCTCCATCTCTGCACCCATGAGGATGGCATCATCTATGCTGGGGGGGGCTTTTTGGTGGCGTGGATGCTCTGGGATCACTCACACTCCTGTAAGTGACCCACGCTCATGCTCTCTGTAAGTTACCCCAGTAAATAAATCACCAAATTCGACTTTAGGGGAATCTTTGGACTCTTGAAGTGTCACCATCTCTGTCTGGGGGGAGGACACATTTGTTTTGTCTCCCCAGGGAAAATCACATGAAAATTGAAGGGACACATATCAGAAGCAAACATGGGGGTGTTTTGTTCTTTATTATTTGTAATTTTTTTTTTTGGTTTTTATTTGTTTTGTTGTTGTTTTGCTTTGCTTTGCTTTGCTTTGGTTTTGGTTGTTCAAGACAAGGTTTCTCCGTGTAGTAGCCCTGGCTGTCCTGAAACTCACTTTGTGGACCAGGCTGGCCTCGAACTCACAGAGACCTGCTTGCCTCTGCCTCCAGAGTGCTGAGATTAAAGATGTACACCACCACCACTAGAAATTTTTGTTTTGCTTTGTTTGTTTTTTTCATTTTTTTGAGACAGGGTTTCTCTGTGTAGCCCTGGCTGTCCTGGAACTCACTCTGTAGACCAGGCTGGCCTCGAACTCTCGAACTCAGAAATCCGCCTGCCTCTGCCTCCCAAGTGCTGGGATTAAAGGCGTGCGCCACCACTGCCTGGCTGAATTTTTTTTTTTTAATCGAAGTGAAATTCACTTGGAAAATCTATTTCAAAGCAAACAGTTTGACTACATTTGATGCGTTCCCAATGTTATCAAGCCACTTTGGTTGTGGGCAGGCTCGTTTGTTTGTTAAGACAGGACCTCAGTGTATTGCCCAGACTGTACTTGGATTCACCATGCTCCTGCCTCCGTATCCCAAGTGCTAGAACTTCAGGCAAGCATGATCATGCCCAGCTGCGAAACCTTTTTTAACCTCAGAAGACGCTCAACAGGGCTGGGATGTAGCCCAGTGGTACAGTACCTGTCTAGCATGCGTGAGGCCCCAGGTTCGATTCCCAGCACCATAAAAAAAAAAAAAAAAGGGAAACATAGTCCCCATGCCCCAGCCCTAGAGAACCTCAGACAACTTTGTGTCTCTGTGGATTCCACCATCAGATGCACAGAATCCGGGTCCTCCATTCCCGGTGGGGTTACCTCTCCAGGGCTCAAAGGCAGGTCTTGCTGAAGTTGGCATTCTCTCCTTTTCCCGGCTGAGTAAGGCCCGTCGTTGTCCCAGAATGCATTTTGCTTCTCCGCCCCTCCCTCTTCCAGATGCTTCGTGTAAGCAATACCTCTGTGGCTGGGGACTGAAGATGGGTGGAAGGGACCCTGACTTAGAAAGGCCAGAAAATGGAATTAGGGAACCTGCACTGGGCTGTGGCCAAGGAGATGGTTTTGTCTCCAGACCGCGTCTCTAATCCAGCACTTCCTCATCCACTGCCCATCCGGGTCCTTTGGGCTCTCCCTCTCCTCCTCCTCGGACTCCCTCCGGCCCTAGGCTCCATTCTCTACAGAGCAGCCTTCGGGCTTCTACTGAAGCTTGCCTCAAACCGTTCTCTTGGTTAAAGGCATTGTAGCAGTTCCTCACCACCTCAGGACCAGACAGCTCGCTGGCAGTCACAAAGCATTCCTTGTACTGGCTCTGGCCACCCCTCTAGCCTCCTCCCAAATAGCTTCCTCCGTCGTCTTCTCCTTTCCTCTGCCACCTGCCCTCCCTTTGTTCCAGAATACTCTGTGCCCCAGACCTCTTCCTGTATGCTGTTCCAGAAGACTTCCCCACATCCTCCAAT